AAACTAATCTAAATTGGAATTTGTGGGAGAAAATATGATGAACAAACCTAGGCTAAGGCTATGAACTAATCTGGAAAATCTGGAAAATCTGGAAAATCTGGAAACTATTGCTGAAATCTGGAAAATGCAGTCTGAAAGCTGAAAAACATGCTCTGGGCAGTCTGTGTGTGTGCTGGGCATTTCAACGACTGGAGGAGGAATCTCAGGTCTGGGCTGTCGCACTTGCTCAACCACTTGTTCTGAAACAGCTTGCAGTGTTCTGCGACTTTCTTCCCCAGTTTCTCGCATCACCCTAGTGCCTTCCTCAAAGACCCGTCTCATGTCTTCCATACACTGTCTGATTATCTCTTCCTGACGTCTGGAGGATTCTGCTTGACTCTCAACCAGCCTCTGCATAGTCTGGTTCTTTTCTTTGAATGCTAAATCCAGACGTTCCATCATACCTCTAAACATATTACTTGATTCAGCAAAGTCACCTCCACGGTCTGCTTCTTTCTCCTTAAACACTGGATTCCCATAGGACCGTTCTGCTAGAGGTGATACTGGGAGAAAAGTGATGGGATCATTTTCGCCCTCAGAGTGGAGTGGACTGTCGTCTGCATGGTCAGCCTGGGCTGGCTGAACCTCTTTGTCTCTGCTCTTTCTCAGTGGCATGGCTCCAGACGCTTCTGGATGTATAAACAGAGGGTCTGTAAACTTTAATTGATACACCTTGCTGGAGGTCCCACCAGGCGTGCCAACAAAGGATTGTTTCCTCAAAAATCCTCAGCCGACCTTTACCACGTGAATTGGATGTTAGGCGTGCCACTTGCTTTGTCTAAAAACAAGAAAATGGGATTTTCCAGACGACCCTTCTTCTTTCCAACGGTCGACCTCCAATATGATGGCTGGAAAGAACGTCTGTGAAATGAATTGCGCCCCAGACGATGTTGCAAAACAGAGGGTAGAGCTCTGCAAAATGGGTTACTAATTGCCTTGGAAACCTCCAAGGACTTCACAACCAAACAAGTGTAATAAAAGTTACAAATCCTAAAATAAATGTAATATCCTAAAGCAATTAAACTAACATGAAGTAAAGAATAGAAAATAACATGCCATGAAGATTAAATTCACAGACAACAGAAAAAGTAAAATAACAGACAATGATTTCAACTACGCAGCCCATAATAATTAACTAAAACTAAAGAAGAACCTATGAAATGATTAAAGTATGAAAACTTATAAAATCAAATCTGGAAATTGAAATTAAATAAACTGAATGTCTGGATATTGTGCAGAAACAAAAGAACAAAGGTAGAAAACATTCAACCTATTTACATGAATGAATAACATAATTAGATCCATAAAAAGAAGAAGAACTAATCGAATCAAAAGGGCAGACCTATTTTGAAGGCTAAGTTGCTTCCAAATGCTTAAAAACTAATCTAAATTGGAATTTGTGGGAGAAAATATGATGAACAAACCTAGGCTAAGGCTATGAACTAATCTGGAAAATCTGGAAAATCTGGAAA